ACTGACAAGCTGGAGAGAGTCTGCAGAGTGCATCATGGAGAAGAAATATATGTTGTTCTTTTAAAATAACATAATGGAAGAGAAAGGAGGAAACTGTAACTTTCTTCTGCCTTTCATCACCTGCACTATTTATGAACAGGAGTTTTATTCTTTTCTCTAGTTAAGGCTTGTTATATGGGAAACTGAAAAGGCTTGCTGAGATCTAGAAGTTCAGTTTTGATAGCAGGTTATAGGGTTGAAAATGGATGAAATCACACAGGGAGCTTGTATGTTAAGTTTTTATTTCTGAAGTCCTGGCTTCAACTTGTACTCCATGCTATGGGCAAGTATATACATACTCCTGAGACAGAGATGCTTCCATTGGTTTGGACTCATGAATTGTATAAGCAATGGCCAAATCCCCAAGGACATACTTTACGATGAGCTGGCCACTGGTGACCATCAACTTGGATGGGCCAAATTCCATTTTGTTGATGTCTGCAAGAAAAACCTTAGTGAGCTGAGCATTGATGGCCAGGCTGGGAATCAAGCACTTGGATTGCTGTGAGTAGCAAGCTGCCTGGAAGCAGGGCCTACATTGCTTCAAGATGGAGACGGTCAGTGAGGAAATAGAGAAGAAGCATCAGAAGCAGGCAAGACAAGAGGGTACTTGGCATGCCAGCACAAGCTCTAATGAGTTTGCATGGGAAACTTGCTGGAGGGCCTGCCTGTCATGCATTGGATTCCTTGGCCACTCAAGAAGCTGTGGTAGTACCCAGTAACCCACCAAAGGCACAATATCCATGGTCTCCCAAGATAGATGGCTGCCAATAGAAGCTATGAAATAATGAGCACAAATAGAGTAGGAAGGCATAGCAAGTCAAGTCTGAAATAGCTGCATGGATGTCTAACAGTAGAACAAGATGAATGAGAAGTTGCGGGGGGGATTAAAATTATAGTGCATTAGGCAAATGCAGGAGTAACATAGAGAGGTAGGAAGGTCAAGATAGTGCATTTGGACAAATGTTAATAAAGCCCAGGCCTAGTTTATTTGGGGTAATGAATTCAGGTTTGAAGGGAATTACTAGAAGTATAGAAGTATCCTAAACACACGTGGTGCTGTAAATCAGTATTGAAATATATATCAAGAGGACCACTACAGGGAAAAGGTGCACATCATAACTGAAGTGCATTAACAAAGATGGGTGGGATGAAGTAAGACTATTATATGCAGGGATGTTGAAACTCTGAATTGCCAAACTGTCTTGATGTTTGTGTTTCCTCTCCATCCAAATAGGGTTTTATAAATAAAGAATTTCTAGAAATAAAGATTCTAGCACCCCCCTCAGATATGTTGTTATTATACCAATGGTAGCAACAATGACTTGATACCAGGATGTCAAGAGCTATTGTTAATGAACTCTGATCCTATCAATATTGGGGTTGGGTGGGGGGAAGGAATAGACTCTTTTTTTTTGTCCAGTTACTGATTTAGAGTTCTTTATTTACAAACTTGTGGTTTTCAGGAATTCCATAAAAGAACTCTAAAACACATCAGAAACCTTTTGTAGTTAACTCCTTCCACAGGCTCCTGAGGGACAGGGTCTGCTGTACAGAAATGTCATTCATTATCTGGTCAGAGGTTGCTGTGGAATAGTAAGGCAGAAATGTTTGAATAGGAAATGGAACATACCAGTATTTCTACAACCATCTTTCTAGCTTACTGGAAATATATTGGACCAAATTTGAGCCATTGCATCTAGAGGAACCTGAATCTTAAAATTATCAGAATATCAAAACATAACTCTGAAAGATGGAACCGTAGAAAGGTAGGGCTGGAAGGGCTCAAAGATACAAAACCATATAAATTCTGAGATTTCGTGTGTCTTGCATAGGTCCTTATTATTCTGTCTGCCTGTCTGTCTGATCTCTACAGCCACCTTAATATTTTGCATACTAAGGTAGTCTCAGTCTTTGCTTTCATTTTTCCTGCTCTTTAATTTGTGACATCTACAAATTCCTCCTTCTCCCTGGCCCTCTTGTGCTTGTGCAGTTTTTTAAATCTTCAATGATACTTTAACTTAAGGCTTGGAATGGAGCCAACCAGAAGTTCCCCAATTATGGCTGCCCATTTTTGTGTAGCCCTACATGTAACATTTTCTGGAAATGTTTAAGAATCTATTTTTTATATTTGCAAATAATCAGAAACTTTAAAGAAATCTTTGTGCATTTGCTGTTAGATAAAGATATTGGCTCTGACCAGTCTTAACAAATGAACCCTTCTTTTTGTGTACAGGGCAAGCTTTCCACATTTTGTGCCCTGGACTGAAAGTTCCTATAAAGCAATAGGGATAATTCTTTCTCCATGGTACATGTAGTATTTCTGAGTGTGTCAGTTTGGGCAGAACATACTGATTACTTGAGGTTCTGCTAAGGGAAGTGGAATAATGGTATGTCAACACTGCAAACTGAACTGATTTTTCAGAAAAGAAATTAGCCACTGAGCTCTGTGCTGGTATGTTTAGACCACATCTAGTACCCAAACATTTAAAGCTAGCCCAGGTATCTGAGCTATTCTGCAATCTGCAATGAGGGTGCACCCTAAGACCCACTAACCCTACCTATAGGTTGGAACACCAAAAATCTTTTTAGATAGGAGTAGGTTTTAATGTCTATTGAGAGGACTGGATTCAAACTGGTTACCTACAAGTAAAAGGCTCTGCAACTCTCTACCAATGCCCAGAGAAATCTAGTCGTCCTCTTAGTTTTATTTTTCCCCTGTAGCAGACTGCATATCTCAGGGGCTATAGCCCAGCTGCAGGCAGTAAGAAACTGATTACAGGCCTGACTAGGAGGACTGGGCCAGCTGATGGGGATAACTGGCTGTTCCAGAGGAAGTTAAAGGCTCCCAGGGAAGGGAGCTGGGAGGGAAAAAAGTCTGTGAGGTAGAAACTGCAGCACTGAGTCAGATTAGGCTGTGTGGGCCTGGGAGAGGACTGCAGGGTGTGAGTTAACCCTTTACTGTTGATGTCTTTGTTTGATGATATATGTTGTGCCCTGTGGAGTGAGTTTGCCCCAGGGAAATAAAGACTATGTTGAGCAGACAGGCCAACCTGCTACATGCCCCTTGATATGAAAGTTGCTTTTTAGAAGGCTAACTTATTTAATCAATTATTGACCTTTTAGTACTAACACAAGTTGTCTTCTGTTCTTTTGCATATGAGCAGTATTTCCCCAAAAATGTCCATGTCTTCCTCTAAACACTATAGTTCAACATACCACTCTCACTAAAGGGGAAGCTCCTATTGAACAATATAAGTGTTAAAGCTAATATTATAGAACAAATCTTAGTATTATAACTGGCATATAAGCACAGTATCTTTAGTGTGAAACTACACAGACATGGTGGATACTTTACAGGGAGTTACATGACTTTTGTAGAGGGGTGGTTAGCCATGTTAATCTGAAGTCAGGCAGAATGTAGGGCAGGGTGGCACCTTGATGACTACCTGATTCAAAGAGTCATGAGCTATCGTAGACAACAACCTACTTCATCAGATGCTTTGTCTGCATGACCTTTTGTGAAATAGCACTACAGTGTTTGGTATTATGATTTGCGAATACTGTTCTTGGTGCTGGGAGCAGTCCAGTCTAGTGATTAGAGTTAACATAGCCAAGTCTAATGGACACTCTTTGGGTCATCTGTGGAAAGAGGCATAACTGGGTATTTCTGCACCCTGAACAGCACTGGCCAATGGGGCAGCAGCTGCTGCTGGAGGTGGTGAGTGTGATAAGGCCAGCAACACAGTGGTTGCTATATTTGTGTCTCCCCTTTCCAAGTTGGCATCCAGGACTGGTGCCCTGTTTGCCTATCCCACCCTGTTGTAGTTACGCTATTGTCTGTAGGAATTGAATCTGGGACCACTGGTTTTCAAAGCATGAGTCATTACCCCTTGAGCTAAAAAACTAACTCTAATATGGAGAATGTATCAGACTCAGAAACTTCCACATGTGGCCTAGCCCCTAGCAGGTGATGAAGAGACATATGGTGTAGTAACAATACACAAACATATGTCTTGAATTGTTCTGTCTGAAAGGTAGCTTGGTGCAGTGAATGAGATCTGGGTTCTGTTCCCTCTTCCATCTTCAGTGACCTTGTGTAACCTAAACTATATGTAAAATGGGTAAATTATATTTATCTTAAGAAGGATTCTTGGTTAATAAAGGTTTGTGAGGTATTAATAGCACTCAGAGCAGTAGCCTAACAATGGGTGGACAAGTGGGGTGTGAGTTCTGAGTATTGTCTAATGGGGCAGCACTGGAATGGAACTGGGGGGGGCACCTCATCCTTTTCACCCCCTATTCCTCTGTCCCATATGCACCCTGCACCTTCCCTGCAGCAGCTCTAGCTCTGGCAGTGGGGAGGGCAAAAAAGTGGTGTTGGTGTGTGATGGAGGAGCAGTGGCTGGAAGTTTGCTTGCTGTTAAGGGAGATGTCACACCCGTTTGGGGTGGGAGGGGTTTCCACTGAAAACCAGTGGGTTTTTTGGCCACTTGACATGTATGTCAGCAGCAAAACAAGGAAATGACATCTTCCTCCCCTTGCCCAGCCTCCAGCAAAAAACTTCTGACCACTGTAGCATGCAGTGCCAATGCTGGGCTGTCCTCTCTGCTGCCCCGCATCTCGAGCTGGCAGTGACAACATGCAGGGTGTGGGGCATGCAGTACTGCCCAATATGCTATACTGCCCAGTTACCTTTGAGGCAGGAATGAAACTAAAATTCATGGTGTCTTGCCTTACAAGTCTGATACCATTCTCCTAGGCCGCAGGATATTTCATATGGGAAGAATCTGTTCCTTTTCCCGCACCGTATGTGAATGTCAGTAAGGTGTGTGACATTCTTAGCAGGTCTATGTAATGCACAGTCGTTTTGGTGGTATGGTGATGATGATTTATGTTTCTGTTTAGCCAGAGCCTTGCTGTCTACCTACAGCTTGTTTCCTCTTTTTATTTTTTTGCAGGCTTTTTAGTGCAATTTTAGAACAAGCAACCAAAGCAGATGGGGGGAATTCAATAGGAGGGAAAGGTGCCGGATTTGATGTTAAAGCACTGAGGGCTTTTCGAGTGTTACGCCCCTTACGGCTGGTATCTGGAGTTCCTAGTAAGTAACACACTAATTTTTTATTCCTTTTCTCTTCTTGGTTGGGTAGAAGTGGGGCAGGGATTAGTTTTCTGTGCAAGATATTCAAGCTCTAGCATGATGCAGATGTTTTTCTCTCCCTTGGGGGTGGGGGCAACATGGTCAACAATTTAATTTGGTAAATTGAAATGAATCAAACTTGGGGAGGGGGGCATCTGTGGGGCAGGGGTGGGAGGGGAAGACTAGTTATACAGTTCCATGAAATGTGTAGGGCATGATCAACAATAGGTATGGCCAGTCACTTTCAACAGAAGTAAATGAAGATGTAATTTTTTAATGGGTCTAATACAAATCAAATTAATGAAGCAACTGGGAATCTGCATGTAAAACTATTGTGCATTAGTCTCACAAATCACAGAAATGATGAATAAACACTTTTACTGACTTGCGGATGTAGTCTCCTACTTTTCATTCTCCCCACCTGTCACCACCTGCTGCTCCACTCAAAGGTGGTGGGACAATTCAGAACAAAGTGCACAGGGCAATAAAATTTTGTTTTCACTGAAGGTTACATTGGCTTAAACCATTTTTCATAATTCAGAGAGTCCATGGACAGCTTTTCATAATCTAACATCTACTGTTTAAAGGGCAAGAAAGCTCTGGGTGAACAAAAGTGGACTACTAGTCCTGTTATAAAGATGGAATATGGCAGTCTCTATGTAGGAAGGTCATATTTTTTATTTCTGCTTGGGAGTGAGCCTATGCATGGACTTTTTGTAAAGGGCATCATCCAGTTTAGTAGTGGTGAGAGATCCAGTTGAATGAAAGGGGGCTAATGCAGGAAGCTGGATTTGAAGATTTGCCCATGTTTGCTAAACTGGTTGTAAAAAAGGCTTTGTTTATTTTTTTTTATTTATGAAGCTGTTTTTTAAGTGAGACCTTAAGTACTGCCAAACTCAGTCATTTCAAACTCACCCCCACAAGATTTTGTGACCGTCTTTGTAAGTATGATCTAAAAATAATACCATGTCCACTCATATATGAGGAGTTCCTCCCCACAGTCACGGGGATGTGGGGGGGATGCTCCTTATCTTAGATTTGTGTACAAAGTGGAGTGGGGGGAGGGTCAGGTGGCTGCTGCGGCTCTAACTGTCCCCAAACCTGGGTCAGAACTAGAATCAGACCCACGGCAGCCTCCTACCCCTCCTCCACTTGCCCTCTGCATCTTTTGTTCCCATTCTGCTCCCTTCCGATCCCCCACCCCTTACTGTCAGGTGCAGCTTTGCTCCAGCTTGAGCTGGATTCCCTCCCAGGCACAGAGCACAGGGAAACTCCCACCCCTGCTCAGCCAGTCAGCAGTGCTGCTGCTGCTGCTGCTGCTGCTGCTGTGGCATGGCCCGGCATGGACATGTGGACTGCGCTTCCACATACTGTGCTCCAGAAAGGAACCGGGCCTGAGCAGCACCTGATAGTAGTGGGGGCTGGGGTGGAGGGAGAGGGCTGAGATTGTGGGGCGTGGGTGAGCAGGAAGTGCAGGAGCTGGGGGTTGGGGAGTGCAGGTGGTGGGAGCCAGGAAGACTACAGGGAAAGAAGTGGTGTGGCAGATGGCAAGGGGGCTGCTTGACCCCCCACAGCTGTCTGACACCCCCTTCCCCCCCCCCCGAACACACACACACATCCAACACCCCGGCCATTGCTTTTCCTGCTATAGTAGTGAGGTGGGGGAGAGGACGTTTAAGATAACCCTCGAATAATTAGATTCCATACCTGGAAAATTATAACAAACTTACACATTTTCCATATATAGAATCTAATTATTAGGGGCCATCTTACATTCAGGCTCATCTTAGAGTCAAGTGAATATGGTATTTAACTTGGACTACTTATAAATTGACTTGGCTTCTGAGCCTTCTTTAAACTTTTTTTTGATTACACTGAAGTCATTTTCAGGCTTCTTTCATGAACTGTGGGGCCTAAAAACTTTTTAAACCAAATTTGAGATTTTGAAATGGGGGAGCCTCAGCTTTAAGTAAAATGACAGTGTTGTCAACACTTTTTATATATACTATTTTCTCTTATGCATGGGTTGGTCTTTGCAGTTGCCTGGAGGTCCTTGGCTCATGTACCAAGATGTGGTTGTCTTGATGGCAATTGTTGGATGGGCTGCCTACCTTTTTGTTAATGAAATCTGTAATTTAGTGGTCATGGTAGCTCTTTAAAAACTTTTTAATAGTGAAATAGTAGAAGTAGTAGTAATCAAGTGTGCATTTGTAAATCTCTGCTCAGCAAAGAAAATTATGATCGTCCTCTCAGATGTCCTCACAACTGCTATCCATGCCTTACCCACTTCAGATTAAATACTGTACTGAGTTACTGCTGAAGATCTCTCATTTAGCAGTATTTCTTACCTGAAACACATTGCACCTGGACTGTCTACTCTGCACTCACACCAGTTCAGTCATGGATGTCATTCAAGGTTTTGTCTTGCTTTCAAAACCTTAAGTCTTTGCAGCTTTAAAAGCTCCTTCTGTCTTTGTGTCCCATCCTTGCAGCTGAGATACGGTGCTCAAAGTAATGGCCATCAGATTTAAATGTCTGTAAATGGGAGATTCTCTCACCCTTAGAACTTGCTCCACTCATTAGTCTGACATAGGTCAAGTTTGTTGATACTGTAATTATGCTGTTAGCCTTATCTGTTGAGCCAGGTTTTTTTCTGAAGGGATGGATTATGAGGTTACTGTGCTTTTAGGGAACTTCCTGAGCACTTTAGTTGACATTTGTTTGGACTTTTGTTTTGCACTTTTAAATTGTACAAGTACTGAGAAAATATTTTAGGTGAAGTTTAGCAATTCAGTATATATGAAAGCATATTTCTCGTGAGAACTCTGAATGTGATTGCCTGAGCCAGGCAAAAATAGCACACCACAAAGATTAAACTATAAGGTGATTGGTTATAGGCCCACACATCAAAACTCTGGCTTATTTTTGATTCACCCCCTAACTTGATGTATGAAACATAGTAAGTGATGTAACCCACTGCTGGCATTAACACTTTTGTGGAGGGCAACATATTTTACTCCTGCTTCCAAAATACATATATCTCCTTTTCACTGTGACCAAACCACCTGCAAAGGACTGGCCAGAAGATTTCAGGATGGGTTAGCAAGAGGATTCCAATGTAAGGGCCTTGTTACACATTTAATTTTAGGTGCCTTTTATCCCCTGGATTGTTCACACATTAACACCTGAAGTTAATTTTAGGCACACTTTAGGCAGCTGAAAGTTACACCACTTTGGGGCAGGTTTCTCTCTATTCCATGTTACCCAGCTCATGTTCCATTTCATGTGTGGCTACTCCCACAGATAAGCTGCCCACATTGCATTCCTCCAGCATCTCAGGATGCAGTGTCCCCTCATCCACAGTCCTGTTCTGGGTGGACAAACTTTCCACCCCCTGAACTCAACTACCCAGGGGACAGTTCTAGCACCAAGCCAACTCTCCTGCCTGCCCCTGGGGGATATGTCCTTCCCATCCCCAGGGAAGCAACCCTGTGCAAACAAGCTGCCAAGCACATGTCAGTAAGCAAAGTCTCAGGGCATAGATGGGTCCGAAAGTGAAGTCTAGGGAGGCTGGAGGGGGAAAAGGTAGGGGCAGATTGGGTCCCCGTAAGCTGGGGCAGGGGCAATAGTTCCCCCAAAAGCACCTTCTCTCACTGGTCCCAGCTCCCAGCCACCCTGGGAAGTGTAACCAGCACCCTCCACACCCCAATCACAAATTCCAATTTATTAAAACATGAGACCTTTATTAATTGATTTCCTTTTTATTTCTTCTTTTTTTTAACTTCCTTTTGTTTTATCCTTCAGTGGCTGGCTGATTTCATTTCACTACCCTTCCACCATCCCCATTTCCTTTCCACCTCCCACTTCATTCCCTACCTCTACCCCACTAACTCCCTGCTTCCCAGGTTCATGTTCCTGCCCCTCCCGCCCCC